CCATTTTTGCTTCCATATCTCTCTGTTTTGCCCACAGTTTGTGTGTGTGTGTACTCTATTTCAGTTTAGCTTACAAAATCCCCTAATAAATGCACATATAAAAGAAAATTGGCAAGTGCACAGGTATCATTTTATCATTTGTATGATTATAATATTCCCACTAAGGACATCTTAGCTATATGGCTGAAAATAATGTGAAGAAAAAAAGGCTGCCAGGTACAGCTTGGAAACTGTACACCAAAAAGGCAAAGTTGGGATGGACGTGAGAATACAGATACGATTGGCTGCAGTTAGGATGATCTCCAGGGCAAGAGTACAAGTAAGTCTTCTCAAGAACCTACCAAATGGAGGAAGCTTTGGCAGTGTGTGTTGTCAACTCTGGAGAACACTCAGTAAAAACTGCAGCTAGCAGCTGGACGGGGCTCAGTGTACATCTTTCAGCAATCATCACTCAACATGGGGACTTTCCCATGTATTGGGATGGATTCATCCCCTCTGGCAGCTGACAAGGAAAGGATTCACTCTCTAGCCAGGCGGCAGCAAGGTCCCAGCCACTTTTGGTACAGGAGCTCTGAGGCAATATGTCACAGCAAACTCAGGGGAATATTCAGTGTATTCAAGCTTCTTGTGGGTAAGGTGAGGAAATGAGTGTTGAGGACTTTCTGTAATTGCTAAGTGCCCTGAAGTCACGGGATGTGTATGGCACGTTGTAATGTCAGGGCTTTTCAAGAAGGCAGTGTATTGGAGAGTTCCATTGACTGGCAGCAGCAGCAGATCCTCTGGGGAAGCAGGGGGATGGGAGATGCAGGGAATAGAAGTGATATCTTAACTGTTTTTCAGGATATCAGACATCTAACTTCTGGTGGGTTTGAGCATTAGCTACGTGTTTTGCATCCATCTTTTTTTTTTTTTCTTCTTCCTGAGTCCTTTCAAGAAACAGACATTTTCCTTATGAGTCAAAAATCACTTTGATGATCTTGAATGTGCCTGAAAGGCACCTGGACTGTTACCTCATTGCACTGGAGGTGACAAAAGAAAAATTAGGGGAAAAAATGATTTAATTATAAACTATACTTTGCTTAATTTTTTAGAGGTAATGTCAACTCTTTTTGGATTTTAGGCAGCAAAGTAAATTGTTTCCATTGCCTTTGAAGACTTTTAGATTATGTTCTCAAACATTGGCTATACTACATAGAAGTTTACTGCTTTCATTTTAAATGAACTATTGGATTAGAAAAATCTTATAGAATGGAATTTGTGAAATGTTTCATTGGAAAAAGTGATGTTGTGTGCTCTCTTTAAAGATTTCTTCCTTAATATGTACAACACCTACACACCCTCTCCCCACTGGAATAATATCAATAGTAGAAAAAAAGATTGATAAAAAAAAACAGTAAAAGCATTGCAAAATTTAGTGCTCAGTTATCTTCTTATCTTCTGATCTACTTCATTTGTCTCGTGTTTCCTATGCACTTTTCTAAACCCCACCACTAACAAATTGACTTTAAAAGAAAGTTGGACTTTTATCTCAGAATCTGTAGGTTATAGGATCAAATATTAGTTTTTAAGATCCTCTGATAAGTATCTCCTACTCTCATTTGGTTGCAAATCTTGCATTACACTTTTGATGTTTATAAACAAATACAAATAATCAGAAAAAAACTGAATTGGTGATATCTCACCAATAAGTCTTTCCAGAAAACTCTGAGGATGAAGAGAATGTAACGGGTTTTGCTGACAGTACTTAGATTTTCTGAGCTGTTATATTATTCCATATCTACCATCTTAAAGCAAGTAAAGGACGTTATACAATTGAGTAGAATAACGGAGGGAGATACTTGCTTTCTTGTAAGATGCAGTGCTCTAGCATGTACCTACTCAGTGTACATCTGAACTGCAGCTTGTGTTGTGGTAGCATATTTCCTAAGATAAGTAAGCATGTTTACTAGGTTCTGCTGGCTCTCAGGAATTGAAAGCTGTGGTGGCTTTTGCAAGACAACACTGTGAGATTAAAGAAAAGTTGATAAATAGCATGGGAAAATGCCAAGGCACTCAATGTCTCCTTCACGTCAGCCTTTGCTGATAAGACAGGTCTTCAGGGATCCCATGCCTCTGAGGCCTGTGGGACAGCCAGATCAAGGAAAACTCAGTGGAGAAAAATCAATCTACAGAGCATTTAGGCAAAGTGGACACAGACAAGTCCATGGGACTGCACAGGAACCACCCACAAGTGCTGAGAGAGCTGACTGATAGCATTGTGAAACCAGTCTTAATTATCTTTGAAAGGTCATGGCAACTGGAGGAGTTTCCTCATCATGGGAGAAAAAAAAAGAAAGTCACTCCTATCTTCAAGAGGACAAGGAGGAGGACCCAGGAACTACAGGCTGGCCAGCCTTGAAGCCTGGAGCAAATCCTCTTTGAAGCCATTTCCAGATGTGAAGTACAGGAAGATGACTGGGGGTAGTCAGCATGGATTTATGAAAGGGAAATCATTCCTGAGCACACTAATAGCCTTCTACAATGACTTGACTGGCTTCACGGATGAGAGGAGGGCAGATAATGTTGTTCATCTCAAGTTTAACAAGGCTTTTGGCACTCTCTCTCACAACATCCTCTAGACAAACTGTTGGAACAGACTAGCTCAGTGGACAGTGAGGTACATGGAGAAATGGCTGAATTGCCATGCTCAAAGTGTTGTGATCAGCAGCACAAAGTCCACCTGAGGGTCAATCACTACTGGTGTACTGCAGAGGTTGATACTGGGCCAATGCTGTTTAATATCTTCATTAATCACCTGGATGATGGGACAGAGTGCACTCTCAAGTTTGCAGGAGCTATAAGACAGGGAGGAATAGTTCATGCCCCACGGGGTTGTGTTGCCATTGAGAGTGAGCTGGATAGGCTGCAGAAACGGGCCAACAGGAGCTTCACGGTGTGCAGTAAGGAGAAATGCAGTCCTGAACTTGGGAGGAACAATCTGGGAGTTGACCAGCTGGAATGCAGCTTTGCAGAAAAGGTCATGAGGGTTCTGGAGGACATCAAGTTGAATACGAGCCAGCAATGTGCTTTTGCAGCAAAGAAGGCCAACAGCCTCCTGGGTTGCATTAGACAGAGCATTGCCAACAGGTTGAGGGAGGGGATCCTACACTATGCTCAGCACTGGTGAGACACATCTGGAGTGCTGGTTCCAGCTCTGGGCTGCCCAGTACAAGAGAGTCATGGACTTACGGGAATGGGCGCAGCAAAGGGTCATGAAGGTAATGAAAGGACTAGAGGATCTGTCATACAAGAAGAGGCTGAGATGGCTGAGGCCACTCAGCCTGGAGAAGGTTCAGGGAGATCTTATCCATGTGCATAAATAACTGATGGAAGGTAAGTAGAGAACATCAGGCCAGATTCTTCTCAGTGGTGTGCAGTTACAGAACAAGAGGCAGTGGGCACGAGCTGAAACACAGAACATTCCACTTACACATAAGAGAAATCTTTTACTGTGAGGATGACTCATCACTCGCACAGGTTGCCCAGAGAAACTGTGGAGTTTCCATCCCTGGAGATATTCAAAACCTGATGGGACATGGTCCTGAGAAACCTGCTCCAGCTGACCCTGCTCTGGGACTAGATGGACTAGGGGGACTGGGTGATTATCAGAGGTTCCTTCCAACTTCAATGACTCAGTGATTCTGTTTGTTTAGATGTAGAGAAATACGTTGGTCAAGCTGCCCAGCTAGTAGAAACATCATCAAGTAAAAAGGAAAAAAAATGATACTGTGGAGGGAGAATAGCAGACTATTTGGCTTCTTTTAGCTTGGTGGTGAAAGTGAAAACACATTTACAATGTAAAAATGAAATGTTTTTTTAAAAACAATTGTTGCAAAACCTGAGTTGAACAACACACTTCATTGGAATTTAACAGCCTCAAAACATACTGCTATTGTGGTTTTCTTCCCCAAACCAACATGTTTTTTTCCTCCAGGGTGGGTGGCCTAGCACTCAGGAAGCTGATACAGTACTAGGTTTCACTGGGCACATTACTTTATCCTTCCATTTTTCAAAAAAGAAAGTAATAATGTTTCCATCTTTTGTAAAACAATTTTAGATCTAAATATGAAACCAAATGTAGGTATTTACATTCTGTGTACTGACATTATTTAAAAAAAAAAAAGGAAAATTATGTGATTAAAAATAATAATGAGAAAAGAGAGAAGAAAGTATTTGACATTCAATGCTTATATCAACTTTTATGCCACTGAAATTCAGGCATTTAGCATTAATCCTTTTTGATTAAATTGAGAACCCCTGTTTTTTTCATCACACCTAAAAAAACTAGGAAACTAATAGAGGAATAATTAAATATTAAATCCCCATTCATTCTACTACACATCAGTGACTGCTGAAGAGCAGGAAAGAGGGTGGGAGGGAAAAGATTAGAAATAGCTGTTTAATGAAAGCTGTGTCAAGCCAGAACAGATATTGCTAAAATATTTGTTTATGGCAAGACCGAGATCTCCAGATCAGGTGCACGAAGAGCTACTTGTCTAATTCTGTGTTCACTGGACTGAAGTCAACGTGAAAAGAGGTCTTGCTGGGAATTTCAGTGGCAAGCCTTTGCATATAGAGTGGAATAGGTGTGGAGAGAGAATCTTTTAATTTTAAGCCTGAGAAGGAAGGGAGAGAGGAGTGGTTGCAATGCTAAAATATATTCTGCTTTGATATTGCGGATAAAGAAAAAGCTGTTATACTCATGCCCTCACTCAACTCTTCTCGTAAATCCTGAAATGGAAGGATGTAACTCTGTGTATTTATGTAACAACTTCTAATGAAACTAGGTTAATTAAATTAGTATTGATAATCTTTTCCTTTTGGTCGATATTTACATGATCTGTTTGGGAAAACTCACTTTCTACTTGTTTTCAGCCACATCTGTACCAGATTGTACGGAGGCTGAGGGATCTGTACTTTTGTTTCAATATGTATTGCAACATTTTTATTGCATTCCGCAGGTCCTCCAGTAAACGTTACTTGCAATATTTTTATCAACAGTTTTGGATCAGTCACAGAAACCACAATGGTAAGTGCTATGATGCCATTGGCAAGAGAACAACAATACTTAATATATGTCATGAACACAACCTGTCAATTTTTCTATTTATTGTTCAACTTGCAGGTCCTCCTGTAAATGTTACCTGCAACATATTTATCAACAGCTTTGGTTCAATAGCAGAAACTACAATGGTGAGTGGGACTGGTCATTGAAGCCATCTTGTGAAGGAGTGGGATGTAATGTAGAATAGAGATGCTCAGGACATGGAGGTGTTTACTAAGTTATAAAGCTACTAAAAATTACCAATTGAATTAAAATTAAAAAAATATAAAATAACTATATAATGAGATTTAAAAAATATTAAGCCTAACTGCCAAGTCTAAACAGACATAGGTAGTGACTGCATCGTAGTCTGTAGTGACTGTGATGGCAGCAAACATAGGTGTGTGCAAACCATCTTTCTCAGATTTTATTAGCACTGAAGAGGCAGAGAGAACTTTCTAGAGCTCAGCTGTGCGGCTCCCTGCCAAGTACTCCATACTTTGAGTGGGTCTTATACCACATGCTGAATTATCTGCTGCTGCAGACTGTGCTGATAGAGCTATCAGAACAGTCTTGTTTAACTTAGGTAAATTTCTGTGAATTGCAGCCACATCAGTAACTGAAATGAACAAGTAACTTGAGACAAATGACTAAAATATATATATATAAGAAGACTTGGGTATTTTGAGGGTTAAATTGGTACTAGGAAATTATGAGATCCCAACAAACCGAAATGAGTATTTTGACTGACTTTACAGAAGGTTATCAGTCAAAAAACGAGGCCAAAATGAAAATGTCAGAGTTTTAATTTTATATATACATGAAAATAAATAGTTCAATTTTTCAATTCAAGGTGAGATTTTTCTTTTAAAAATTGCCAACATTCAGGATTAATGAAGTCAAGCTGAAAAAACTGAAATGAAAATTTTAGTCTGATTTCTTTCTTTTTTAGTCTAAAAGTGAATTTTCTTTTTTTTTAATATTTGCTAAGAAACATGAAAAATATTTTTTCTAAGTCCGTTTAAGAAGATGCTGAGTTTATTATTCTTCTTTTTCAAACAATAAACAAAAAGGATCAGATATTTAATTAAGCATACGTATATCAGACCACTGGAGTTAGTCCAGAGAGGTATTTTTGATGGCTTTTTAATTATAATATGATAAACTCTCAAAAATTATCAGGTGCTTATATAGAAGAAGTGTGTTAAACCCATTTTAGAAAGAGTCTACTGACAAAACTCAGCTTGACTTTGAAATCTTCAAGTCATGGCTGCCACAAAATAAACTAAAAGTGAGTGCTCTCACCTTCACTGAAATTTTGCAAGAGGTATTCTCATTGCCTCAGAACACTAAAGACAGATACGGACACTTTTGAAGCAATTGCAGTGGAGTTTCACAACTCTGTTTTCCAGGAATTCCTACACAGCATCCAGGTCTTTCTGAGGCAATAAAGGTGCTTAGCATCCTGTAGGACTGAGTTCTTGGTAACTAAAAATGAACTGGCTACTCACTAAAGGACTTATGATATACCAAATAACTTCTTTTTTATAAAATAGGATAGATACTGCTTGGAAGTATTGCATTATGAAGGAAGAGCAGATGTTTAGCCCAACTTAATTATTTTATTTAATATTCAAATACTTAATTTAAATTCAATTGTAATTCATGCCATCATTATAGAAAGTGGTACTTAAGGAATGTAGGAACACAAATCTTCTGCTCCTGAATATTTGCATTTTAAAAACTCACCCTGTTATTTAAGGTTTTCTAGAGATAAAGGGCAAGTTACTGCTAAGGCAGGTTGTTTTCTTAAATAGCAGGGGACAGGTTCTTCTGTAAATGACAAGCTATTACACACAGAGCTATAAAATAAACAGGTAATTTAATGATTTAGAGTATGTGTCAGTAATATTTTAAAACCGCCTTAAAAGAAAACTAAAATAAAGTTTAAAATGACAGGAAAAAACATATCTTGATGTAACATAATTATCAACAGACTTAATTTTCATTTCTTTTTGAAAACTTTGCTTGTTTTCCTATGTTTAATGGATTGTGAGAAGATAGGTATGAATGTAGCCTTTTTACCCAGCCATGTCTGTTGATCCTAGTGTGTAGAGGCATCAACACAGTGTTAAGTAGCAAAAATCCTGCACGTCACTGACTTTACAAGATGGCATTCAATGAAAATATTTGCACGACCTAATGCTGATTGCATTAATTAGACTCCTTCATTGCTTTGATTAAATCCCCTCATTGCATTTTACCTTCTATCAAATATGTTAATGTGCACCTTTCCAATGTTCATTAAAACATTCTGCTGAAAACAGCCAAACATTCAAGTAGACAAAAACAAAGACTATTGGCTTTCTTATTTTGCTTTGTTTGTAATATCTGCTGAAAGTGTGGAAGGATTTCTCTTAGATGCTGTTCAATGGTTTGATATTGATTTTCTTAATGCTGTCACTTCTTTAATGACTAGTATGACTAGTTTTCGGATGTTTTAAAACTGCTCTGAGAGGCAGACATCAATTACTGTTCCATCTACTTTGCCTTTCTGAAATAGATGTAATCGTGGTAAAAATGTTGGCATCCCTTGTGATAAATAATGTATTTTGTTTGACTCCTAGGATTCATTTTTCCCTATAAAACAATCTTGATAGTTTTGACATAAAACTAAAAGATTCATTTAAAACCCTGGATTGTAAATTCAATAGAGACATTCCTGTCTCAGGAGACAGGAATGCTTAATAAAACCATGTGTATGTAGTGAAGGGACATTATCAGAATACAACTTGGACGATCTACAGCAGCTCATTGGAAACTTGGGAGATGAAAACTTGTTTAGAGAAGCTTTCAGGAGGAGAAATGAACATGGCAAACAGGTTTACAGTCTCAGACCTACCAAATCCAGTAAGCTAGGTTCTCAATAACGTTAGCAGGAGTAGCTTCTTTTTTTTCTCAATAAGACAGATACCAGAATGAAATTCATCCCTGTGTGAAAGGCCATCACAACTCTTACATCCAGTATATTCTTCAAAAGCTAAAACTTTTCATTCAGAAATAAATCAGGATTTTGTGCTGGTTCTCTCCACATGGATGAATTCCATAGAGTCTTCATGAGTTTTGTTCCCAAAGACCTAGGGAAACAAAATGCATACGTATATAGTCTTTCTGCATTATAATGCATGTATGGGAGAATCACAATTGATTTTTTTTTTCTCTAAAATAAATTATTTTCTTCAGTATTAGAATGATATATATTATACCAAAATAAAAATAGTAAAAGAAAGGCCAGAGTCAAGATGAAATTGTTGGAAATTTTCTTCACTGATTAACTTGTCTTTCATTTTAGCCCTAACTTGCAAAGAAAGAAAAGACATTCCTGAGTAACTTCACTGAATAAAGCAGTTATGCCAGTAAGCTCTGTATCTATTTTTGGAAGCATTCACACATGCAGTATTCAGCAGAAATTTCACTGTACAACATGACTGCAGTTGAGTATCACAGATGAGTAATCTACATCAGGCTGGGCAGAGTCCCAAAGAATTCAGATGTTCGGCGTTGCTAGTGACCAGGATTTTTTAGCTATCAGCTGTAGGAGAAGATAAAAACAGTTTGTACATTGACGAGCTAATTGTTAATTACAGAAATGACTAACTGTGAGGACATTATTATTGTCGTTATGCCCTATAATCAATGACTGACACTATGCAGCAGGTTCTCAGTTGGGGTAAATGCATCAAACTCCAGTTGTGCTTTGAGTACTTAGGTTAGCAGAAAAAATTACCATTGCTTTTAAAATTTTAGGAGAAATAAAGCTTGGCTGTGGCTGGCTGTATGATATTATCTTCCCACAAGACAAAAAAATAAATTACAAATCAGCTTGTTGGATCCTGATTGATTCATATGTATAGCTTTAACTGCATAAGAGACACTCACTAAAGCACTTTACATGCTTAGGTACAGAGGTAACCAAGTGCTTTTCTGTCACGTGGTCTTGAAATAGGTTATTAAACCACTACTTTTCAGTTAGCATTCATATTTAGGATTTAGAGAGAGAAAGCAGTCTCTTTAGCAAGCCTCTCCTATGCGTAGAAGGCCAGCTAAGTCTGCTGTTTGACTCAACACCTGGGCAATCAATGCTGTTGGAAGGGAAGATGGGAGGAAGGCTAAGATCTAAGATGAATATCAGTTCAGAGACAGGAAGTAGCATTGAAGAGGGAGTGCAGTGCCGGAGACCAAAGGGACCTAGAGCTTTGCTGAAGCTCTGGGCGGTGAATCTGGTGGCCATGGATTTGCTGGAAGACTATTTCTTTCTAGATTCCTATAACACAAACTAAGTGTATCTGTGGATTGAATCCCTAAATCTTCAGGTAAAGCTACTAAAACTAATTAGATGAATATTCTTTTAGTACATTAGTGTTACTCTAATTGAGAATTGAGAACAGAGGAATACTTTATCTGAGTTGCCTTGAGCTATCGCCGGCATCGGTGTTGCAACTGAGATTGAATCTCCAGGTCCACACTCCTTGTTCAGAGCCATGGTGCTGTCAGAAAGAATTTGTGGAGCAGGTGTACTCGTGGTTGTGTAGGAGAGCGTTACTACAGTCCACCCACTTCTACTCTCAGGAACTCGCAAAATATACAGTGTAGTCTGCCTGAGCTCCATGTTGTGATGCCGTTCTCAGGAGAATTTTTCTTTAGGAGATAGTTAACAATGTTAGCACAGGAAAAATAAATTCAACATTCTGCACATAATTAGGTCTGACTGTGTAAACATACATCCTTTTCAACTGCTTATACTGCAAGCATAAAAGAAAACAGTGATGACAGTTTTGTGATGTGCGTGTTATATGTCCATTTTTATTTCTTATTGAAATATCTATACGTATATATATGCAAAGACATAAATAAGTATTGCCGTGCTGTTTTGCTTCTAACATCAAAGCTTGCAGAGAGAAAGCATTTCTAAGTGTATCGATGTGATGACTGATATATTTATAAAGGTATATATTGAAAAAGACTGTAATCCTATTGGCATTATTTATGCTTTTGGTATAATATATATCATTATACGCAAACTCTTTTATGAATAAGGATTTTTCAGACTGTTTTTTGTTATCTAAATCACCAATTACTGAGGTTCATGAAAGCACATTTATTTTTAAATATTTCTAAAAGAGTTACTGATTTGACTGATTTATGATTACTATGTAATGGGAGGAAAAAATCCCTCTGCTTTCCCTAGACTTTATTATATATCTTATTTCAAAAAAAAATTAAAGGCAGTTGCACAAGTAGTTGTAGTAATTTTACTCCATCAGCAGTTGCTGATGACAGCACCTGCCTTGTTTTCTGCAGAACAAAAATCAAGTGCTTTCCTGGATTAACAAATAAAACTGTCCCATATAAACTTATAAGACGCTCTCAGCTTCTAAGACCAAGAAATAAGGGAAAGTATGCTTAGGGCTAGTGTATACCCACTAGATGTGATGACATTTTTTAAGCTCAGAACTGCAAGTAGCTGTTTGATCTTTAACTGTATGAAACACCACCATCATAAAAAGTACAGTGTCTTGTGAAAAACAGATACAGGCTTTTGAAAGCATCTTTAATAAAGGCGCTATTCTTGAGACCTCTCTCAGGTCTGTCTTGCTCTGATTAGTAGACATTCCCGTTTTGACTCATATCTATCCAACAGCAAAATGAAAACTATAAAGAAAGCAAGAAAAATCACGTTCCTAGTGAGACTGTAAATCTTCATCCCATTGGGTTCAAAAATTGCATCAGTGTGGATGTCAGAAACGTGCTGTCAGGGCAGCACCAACCTACTGAACAAAGGGTGGGAAATGCTGAAGTTTGGAGAGGCTTGTTCACAGAGTGTGCATATGTGGCAAGCTGCTTTCTGCAGCTCTAATCAGAGTTAGAATATTTATTTACATTTCAAGGATAAATTCTTTCAACTATATAGTTCAGTGGCCTAGCTGAATCCCGGTCAGCTCACACATTTTCCAAGTCAAAAACACAGTGCTGCCATCTTTACGTTCTGTGACTACCATACAGCAAATCATAAATGTGAGGGGTTTGTACAGGTGGCAGTATTATTTGATGACATAGTCCTTCAGATAATATAACTGATAATATTATTAAGTAGTTTCATTTTAGAGGAAGAGTAGATGTATTTCTAAGAGAATGTTCACAAGTGAGTTAAACGTAGTAATTTCAGGTAAATATGTTGTAATAGCAGGGAAAGCTGGGGTAGATGAAGCTCTTATTTGCTGACTATAGAAATTAAGGATAAGGAGAAGAAACATTAGCATCTTTCCATGATGTTAAACTACTGACTGTTTAGACCCTAAAAGCTCTTTTCACACTCCCGTTTAACAGCCAATTCTTGACACAGTGTTAATGTTCATTCTAAATGAACCCCTAAGTAATTGCTGCCTTTCCCAGTTGTGACTAGCAGGCCACTGAGCAGAAGAATGCCATTAGAACAATTTTAATGGGATGCAGAGAGGGAGGAGTGAATGAAAGAACATACAGAGAAAAGCATATGGTAGATAGAAAAAGGATATAAACAGTAAATAAGAAATGCTGATTTAATTTCTGCTATACAAATCTGGCTTCACTGGAATTAGCAACTATTCATCAGCACATTAGAAATAATTGATCTACATATTGGAAGTAATTTATTTAAATTAGTTGGTTTATAGAATCTTTGTTGAAATCGTATATATCTAGCTGCAATGCTTTTGACTTTCTAAGTACCTCTTAGTTAATCCACAGCATTTGAAAGAGGGTTATGTTTAATATTGGAGGTTGCAGTTAATATTTTTTTCATCTCTGAAGTAATTTGGATTTAGAAAATACACCAGTTGTGTTTGTTTGGTTCAATACAGTATTGAGACTGCTTTATTTTCAAATGACAACACTTATGTTCAAAGGATAACATAAATGTTTGCTGTAACGCTGGTACTGTAGTAAGTCTAAGAGCATAAAGAAAGCTAAAGTGGGCTTCCAGTTTTGCTGAGTGGCTTAGTAACCTTTTTACATGGCATTTCTGTAGGACTACAGAGTGAACATTTTTTTGAGACAGCAGTGGAACGACTCACGTCTGGCTTACAGTGAATATCCGGATGATTCCCTGGATTTGGATCCCTCTATGTTGGACTCTATTTGGAAGCCGGATTTATTCTTTGCCAATGAGAAAGGAGCAAATTTCCATGATGTCACGACAGACAACAAGTTGCTGAGGATTTCTAAAACTGGAAAAGTGTTGTACAGTATCAGGTAAACCAGTTAACTTTATTTTTTTTCTCTTCAACCCCTTCTTTAACTCACTCCCTGTTTTTCTAGATGAAACTACGCTTACAGAACATAACAAACATATTTAATTTTCTGTTGCCTCGTGTACAACTGAAATGAGACTTAATCATAGCAGGGTAGAAGGAAAATTTACCTATGCTCCTTTGCTAAGTTTTACTTTTTGCAAAGTAGACTATAAGTGGCACAGCAGTACTTCTTAGTCTTGTTGGAAACTTGAAGCTGTCTAAAATTTTCATGCTATGCCTCAATAATTCCCATTAGCACCAGTTCAAGTCATTCCTCTTACAAAGAGAGGAAATCAAATCCTCAGTAGTTTGTTGCAATTTAAAAGTGAAGGGGAATGGTATTTTAAATGACTGCTCAACACCTAAAGGAAAAACATGCTTGAAATGCAATAAATTTGGCATGCAAGTCCCTGGGTAATCGGATGCATCTATTCACATTTTAAAATAACTGGAATTACAGAAAGCATTTTTTTTAATACTAAGTGCATTGATTTGTGAGTCATGTGACTGGATTTAGGCTGAATTAATAAACACTGACAAAACATGATTTGATATGACCTGATGAAATAGGACATATGCAGAGAATCAGAATCGCGTTGCACAGGCATAAACAGCAGCAAATAATCAGTAGTATTTATTTGACATTCAGCTTACTGCGTACTGCTAATTACTTAATATAGATAGTCAAAGATGCAAAACACTGTATTATTGCTCTCACAATTGTTTTAAAAAAAGTAATTACTGTGCTTTATTTGTTCCAGGGGATGCTTCTCAGCTTTTGCCTTTCTTGCATTGTGGAAAGTAAACATGATATATTTGTTTAACAGATTTTTTAGTGAATTTACTCATCTGTAAAGCAGATTAGTTTAGAAGGCAGTTGTTTCTGACTGGACATTCTATTTGTGACCTGCATTTTCATTAAGGAATTATTATTGATCCAGACTCAGGACAGCTGTGTTCTTTAGGATGCTAAATAAATAAATAGTAATGTGGCACTTTCTCTGTTTACTTAATTCTTGTGGAAATTCCTTGATAAGATCCCAGTAATATCTCGATAGATTAAGCAGGGTGGAAAGTAAATGTTTATTGAGCATGGTTTTAAATTGATGTACCTGAACATTTTGAGAACAATAATAGGATACAAAGATGAAACTAGCACGAGCAGAGTGATAAATATGTCACAAATATTTCTTGTTTCATCCTGAGAAAGAAATGAATGCATCTGTTTGTTTGAATGACATCAGACACCATCTTATTGGAGGCAACAGTGCAGTTGGGTGCTGTTCTGAATGCAGATGGATAATTTTCCTGACATTTGTCCATGCGGGAAAAACAATATTTTGAGCTGTCATATCACATTTGTAAAATTCCCACACTTAAATGCAAATTAATCTGAAGCGGAGTAAGCAATATTCCAATAGAGTACTAAGCAAAAATAATTATTTCTCCTTTGTATCACACAGCAGCAATAAAGGTTTACCTGGTGCCTCAATATGTCATATAATTTTTTAGTACTTTACAGTGAAGAAAACTTTCCAGAGCATGGAAACTTCAAGTCAGATGTAATTAGAAAAGCTTGTCTATATTCTCTAGATACCAGGCTACATACATCCGTGTGTTGCCAGTTGCTTTTAGTTGTGCTACGTGGAAACAAACAAGAATATTTTAGTGATTGGTTTGAGTACATTGAGAATGTTATAATGCTGCCATTTGCCCTACTGCACCAATAGGGTTTCACCTGACATGATATTTAACATTTAGCATTTAGTCTGCTTTAAATGTTTAAAACACTTCACAAACAAGTCTGAGAAGTAGTGGTGTAGGCTGTTTTGTCGTATTTCCAAATTTAATAAAATCAAGGTCAAGTTAATTTCACATAAATATAACCCACTCTCTGTGAGTTTAGAACTGCTTCTGGTAATTAATGAGCAAGAAGCAAGGTGTGTGTACTATATGACAGTGGTATTCCTATTCCCTATATACTGCACCAAAAGCATGGAAATATGCTACACAGGAGGCACGACTGGCTTATGTTGTTAAATGCTTTCAGAGGCTAATCCTGCTGTTTCTGAAATTAATTTGGAAGGTCAGCTGGAACTGGATCTCACGGTCCATATTTTACTAAGACAAGACACTTGGTGTAGGATGCGGGTGCTCAGATAAGTCATGGAAGGGTCAGTGGGGGTCTGGCCTGAGTGTTACGTCCACTGCATTGCTTGGCTCTGGGTCTTACCTCATGGAAATCATGAAGCTCTTCATCCTTCTCTTAGTGAGGAATAAGCCATTCTGCATTTAGTGGTGATGGTACGTGTGACATAAATTTCCATCATAGTTTACCTTGTAATAATTAGTTACAATGCTCATGCGTGCAGAATCCTAGATCTATATTTAATTCTCTGGGAGTTGTTATAGAAAATAAAGCCAGAGTTGTTGATGGTTGGCATACTCACCTATGAATCATATAAGTTTAAGAGTCTAAACCTATTTTTAGATATTTGCTGTGTGCTCAAGTGACTATCTTGGTATTTGTTTTGATCTCAGATAGCATACTCTATACGCTATATAGAGCCTGAGGCTCTGTATCTGGATAGCTGGTCTAAACCTTCGGGTACTGCTCAGAATCTTCAGAACCTTTGGACAGAACCCGGCACTACACAACAGGCAAATAAGTGCCGTTGCCACCAGAGGTGTCACAACAGCTCTTAGAAGTGCACGTGTTTTGAGAAGTCAGCAGTTACAGCAAAGTTACATCCAGAAAATAACTATACTTTAGTCAAGATCAGTCTCAGTTGCACTCTGAGCGGCAAAACAGTTAAATAGCTATAACTTTTATTTTAAAGCTCTCTGCAGAGAGCAGTCAAGAGGGATTTGTTATAGCGACATTCAATAAAATTAACTTAAGTTGTGTATATTTTGTATGCTGAGAAAATAACGAAAGCTAAAATCAGAACCCTCATAATGTCACCTCCCAGATGCCTGTGACTCATCCTCTCTCGACTCTTGAATGATCTCTGCATGGACTGGATTTTGTAGGGGGCTATGCGCTTTGAAAGAGTGGCAGTGCTGTGTGATGATACCGAGAATCCTGTTCCTGGCAGTCATGTTCTGTAGGACACCTGGATTTTGCATTGTATACACTGCTGCACTGTTTTTATGTTCTAGGGGCAAGGATCATATCTTCTCTGGCTCATTGCAGACACCTGGGACATCAGGAAAATGTTAAATAACCCCACAGGAGGCTTCACATTCTCTCTGAGCCACCTATTCGTGCTACCTGATTCCTACAAGCCCATTTCAGGCTACCAGCCAGCTCAGAATATTAGCATCTGCCAAAAAGCTTATTTTAGCAAAGTGATAGAAACTGGAATGATTTTATTTAAGATCTGGGATTTTTTTGCCTCCCTTTAATTGCCTCCCTCTCCTTTTAATATTTTCAGTGCATCTCTGCCATATGAGCTTGATGTAGGAGGTGATATAACTCAATCATAACATTGATCCATGGCATTGAACCTAGAATATATTGGTCAGGAAGCTAAAGGGGCTGTAACTCCTTTTTTTTTTTTTTTTACCTGCTGCTCCAGAAAACACTCTCATTTGCCTGATAAGTACTCTGTACTCTGAAACATAGTGCCAGTGCATTTGGCTAGAAAGAGTTACAAAACAGATTACTTCACATTTTTAAAACATGCAAAGATTTTAGAAGGTGTTGCATAATTTGACAAGAGAGTCATTTGGAATTCTAGGGAGGAGATTTGTGCAAATTCCCAAATCAAATTCTCGCCCCCCCCCCCACCCCCCCAGTTTTTGTTATTTCTGTTCAAAGTGTAATGAAATACTCAGGATTAACTTCCTCAAGTCTTTCAACGTATCTTTTTTTCTGTCTTTGTTTATCTTCACAGTGCAAGAAATATTACAGATATGTAGACAATTAATTCTTCGTGGTTTCAACTCTTGAGCTAGATTTAATTGTTAAATGTGATTAGCGACAAAGGAAGAGTGTCTGCTAGAGAGCAGTGCTGTGCTATTAGGGCACCACGAAACAGAGACCATTCAAGCTCTTGGATTGCTCTCTCTTTGTGCAGCTGTTCTAGGGGTGATTACTAGTCCCTCTGTTCAGCAACAAGAGCTGACAGGATGAGCTGGCACATCCAAAAGCCCTCGCCTGCTTATGCAACCAAAGAGAAGTATCTGTGAAAACAGCATATTTATTTGCAATGCTATCTCCCGCGCCAGCTGTGCTACTCAGGAGTTTCCAAAATCAACTCTCCCTAGTGTGGCCACAATGCTGAGTGACAGAGCACTGAGTCGACTCCCCTCTGCACCCCCACCGCTCCACACACCACTTTGGGTCATATTAAGAGTTACGATTACCATGTCCCTCATGTAAATCATCAGAAATAATCTATAGCACTTTTATAATCCAGCTTTTCTGAGTGAAACTTTTTGAGTCTCCTCTGTTCCTGTGTTCTTTGCTCTTTGGGAAGGCAATAGAAAAGAGATTAAAGAAATACATAGGTAATACTGGTAGTCCCTCTGCAACAGACTATTCACAGGGAAAAAAGTCTACTATCCTTTAGATGTTAGATCTTTAGCATGGCTACTACAGAATATGTTGCCATGTTACAGCAAAGTCAGGCGTGGGTTTTCTAAAACAATTTTGAGGTGCCGACCTTATGAGCTATACAACAACGAAGCTCCATTTACACTTGATGACATTGCTGTGTGAAAATCATCCATGACATGGCACAGTCTAGCTTAGCAGAGTGACAGGAAATGTTATGTTCTACAGCTCTGCGTGCACTCTGTTTTTTAATTTGATGATTTCAATTTTATTTCACAATCTAACGTTGGGATTTAAGAGGATTTGGACTTTACTAACAGCATTGTTTTTCCATGTGACAGATTAGCAGAGGGGGGAGCAGAGAGGCTGTCATCAAGATGGGCATAGCTGTTTACTAT